TCTGGCCAGGTGTCGTGGCTCACACCTATAATCCCAGCACTTTGGGAGGCCAAGGTGGGTGGATCACCTGGGGTCAGGAGTTCGAGACTAGCCTGGCCAACATAGTAAAACCTGTCTTTACTAATAATACAAAAAATTAGCTGGATGTGGTGGCACACGCCTGTAATCTCAGCTGCTCGGGAGGCTGAGGCAGGAGAATCACTTGAACTAGGGAGGTAGAGGTTGCAGTGAGCAAAGAACGCGCCTTTGCACTCCAGCCTGGGCGACAAGAGCAAAACTCCATCTCAAGAAAACAAAACAAACAAACAGAAAAACACTTTTCTTTGAGATTTATCTGTGTTATTTTGTATATCCATTCATTTCATTCCATTGCTGAGTAATTCTACTAATTGCATATACCACAGTTTCATCTTTCAAAGGACATTTGAGTTATTTCCAGTTTAGGCTATTATGAATGAAATTCTGTGAACATTCTTGAGTAGTATTTTAGAGGATATTTGTTTTTATTCTCTTAAGAAAATACAAGGAGTAGAATTTCTTAGTCATATACTGGTATATGTTTAACTTTATAAGAGAGTAATATTTACCATTTATTTATCTTCTTGTTTGAAATACCTGTTCAGGTCTTATGCCCATTTTAATTGGATAGTTTTTCTGTTTATTATTGATTCATATTATTGACTTATAGTAATATTTTATAAATTGATCACTTTATTATTATAAAATGTTTGTTTTTATTTGTGGCAATACTCCTCATCATGAAGTCTGATTTCTGATATTATTATAGCCACTTATACTTACTGTATACCTGATTATTTTTTCCATACCTTTATTTTCAATTTGTCTGTGTATTTGCATTTAAAGTTCATCTCTTGAGCCTGACACTGACAAGCACCTTGAACCCAGATCTTTATATCTAAATCTGATTATCCAGTAAAATTTATCAGAGTTCTCTGGAGAAGTGGCTGATTGTAGAGCAGGGATAAGAAAAGTATATGCTGAACCTGAAACATTTTGTGGTGCCAAAAAGTAAGGAAATACACAAAAAAATGGAGAAGATATCAGAAGTGTACAAAAACTAACCTAACGTGACTCTCAATGACCATATCTGGGACAATTTGAGTAAAAAAATAATTGACAATAATGAATTATATCTTATAAGATAATAAAAAATAAATATCAATGAGCCTATGATAATATAAATTAGTGGCTGAATGTATAAATGGGAGGAAGGGAAAATTCTTTATTTCAGCAGAATTATAATTAATTAATATAAAATAGAAATAGTAGAAATAGAAAGTCAACATTTGGCAAGCACCACAGTAATAATTGTTGCAGGCAAGAATCATCAATGGATGCTAAAGTTTGTGAGAAAAAGTATAATGAGAAATAGGTTATTTACGTATCCTCAAAGGCTTTTCCTACAAGAAACTGTTAATTACAAAGGGGAAGATATTGAGAACCATGGAAGACAGCACCTTAACCAAATGATTGAAGTGTTAATATCATTGCAATACAACAAATCAGTATCATGTGCCTCCTGATATGATGTGCTGAGAAGGGCACAAGCATCGCCTTTATGCTATTCTTGCAAAAAATACATAATCTAAAGTCAACCATGAAGAAATCTTAGAAGGATGTTCTATAACTAGTCAGTACTGCTCAAAAATGTCAAGATTATAAAAGACAAAGAAAGACTAAGGTACTTTCCAGATTAAAAGAAGAGAAGCTAGGGAGACAGGACTACCAAATGCAATATGTGAATCTGAATTGGACCCTGGACTAAAATTAGGCAGACAACTGGTGAATTTTGAATCAAGTGTGTAGAGCAGTTAATAGTATTTCTGGTTTTGATCATTGTAATATAGTTATTTAAGATGTTAACATTTGGGGGATCTGGGTGAAAAGTATATGAGGATTCTCTCGCAGTATTTTTGCAATTTTTTAAAATCTGAAATTATTTTAAAATGGGAAGTTGACTGGACACAGTGACTGACACGTGTAATCCCAGCACTTTGAAACACCAAGGCAGGAGACTCACTTGAGCCCAGGATTTGAGACCATCCTGCGTAAGATGGCAAGACCCCATCTCTTCATAAAAAAAAAAAAAGCAAAAAAGTGAAAAAAAGAAAAATATTTAATAAAATATTTTTAAATAATAATGATAGATGTCTTTTATAGGCAACATATGATTAGGTTTTGCATTTTTATTCAGCTTGACAATCTGTGTCTTTCATTGGACTGTTTGTCATAATTTATATGGCTGGATTTAGCTCTCAGAATGTGCAGTTTATTTCTGTTCATCTCATCTGTTTCTTTGTTTCTCTTTTCCTGCCTTATTTTGAGTTAGTCAAATATTTGCAATATTCCATTTTAACTCTTCTCTGTGCTTTTTAGCTCTGCAGTCAATTAATAATTAACATATCAATCATACCAGTTTATATAAAATGTAAATCTTGCAACAATATAGATTTGATTATTCCACCTATCTTGTGCGCAATGCTGTCATTTGTATTACATCTACATGTATTTTAAACAAAGATTGAGAAGGTACCTTAAAAAAAAAAAAAAAAAAAAAAAAAACACCTTACCCACATGTTTACCATTTTCCGGTACTCTTTACTACTCTCTTTAGATCTGAACTTCTATCTGGTGCCACTTATCCTCAGCCTGAAGAACTTCCTGTAGCATATTCTGTAGTGCCAACAATTTGTCTGCTGATGACAAATTATCTCAACTTTATCCAATAGTATCTTGATTTTCCTTCCCTTTTTGATGGATAGTTTTTGCTAGATATAGAATTCTTGGTACATTTTCCATTTCAGCACTTATAGATATCATTCAGTTGTCTTCTGGCTTCCATTATTTTTGATGAGAAGTCAACCATTATCTGTATTCTTATTCTCCTGTGTGTAATGTATTGTTTTTATTAGGCTGCTTTCGAGATTTTGTTTATCTTTTTTGTTTTCAGCATATAACAATGATGTGCCTACCCATTTTTCTTTATGTTGATCCTGCTTCAGTTCACTGACTTTATTGACTGTCTCAGCTTGTGTTTTTCTAAATGTGTGAATATTTTGGCTGTTTTTTCCCCCAAATATTTTTCTGCCCTATTACCCATCCCCTTTTATGGAACTCCAGTCACACATATGTCAGAATGCTTGAAATTTTTCTGCAAGTTCCCTTTATTTTTCATATTAGATAAATTCTGTCTCTGTATCTTCAAGTTCATGATACTTTTCTCCAGTCATCTTCCATCATCTTTTAAACCCATCTAGTGAATTTTTTTATTTCATGTATTATATTTTTCAGTTCTAAAATACATTTGGCCAGGCGTGGTGGTTAACACCTGTAATCCCAGCACTTTGGGAGGCTGAGGCAGGCGGATCACCTGAGGTCAGGAGTTTGAGACCAGACTAGTCAACATGGTGAAACCCTGTCTCTACTGAAAATACAAAAATCTGCCAGGCATGGTGGTGCATGGTACATGCCTGTAATCTCAGCTACTTGGGTGGCTGAGGCAAGAGAATCACTTGAACCCAGGAGGTGGAGGTTGCAGTTAACCGTGATTGCACCACGGCACTCCAGCCTAGGGGACAGAGCAAGACTCTGTCTCAAAAATAAAATGAAATAAAATAAAATAAAATAAAAACGTGCATTTGATTCATTTTTAGTTTCCCTTTTACTACTGAGATTCCCCATCTTTTCATTCATTATGACCTTATTTTTCTTTTAAGTCCTTTGAACATCTTTATAATAGCTGCTTTATTTTCCCTGTCTGCTTATTCCATGATTTGCATCATCTTGTGACTGATTTCTGTTAATTACTTTTTCTCTTGATACTGGGTCATATTTTTTTTTATTTCTTTGCATGTCTAGTAATTTTTTTATTGTAGGCTGGACAGTGAATATAGTAACAAACAGAGACAGTGAATTTTACTATATTTGCCTGAGGTGTGTTGATTTTTTCTCTTCTCTTTCCTCTTCTCTTCTCTTCTCTTCTCTTCTCTTCTCTTTTCTTTCTTTTTCCTGAGATGGTGTCTTACTCTGTCACCCAAGCTGGAGTTCAGTGGCACGGTCCCGGCTCACTACAACATCTGCCTCCTGGGTTTAAGCCATTCTCCTGCCTCAGCCTCTCAAGTAGCTGCGATTACAGGCATGTGCCACCACACCTGGCTAATTTTTGTATTTTTCGTAGAGATGAGGTTTCTTCACCATGTTGGCCAGGCTGGTCTCTAGAACTCCTGACCTCAGGTGATCTGCCCACCTCGGTCTCCGAAAGTGCTAGGATTACAAGTGTGAGCCACCGTGCCCAGTGTTGATTTTTGTTCCAGCAAGTTAACATAGCTGAACTCCAAATTCTGCTTCCCTTTTGGTGAACATCAACTGAAATCAATGCTGAGCCCTCTCAATCTTCCAGCTGTTGACTTTCACCTGTTCAGTTCAGGGTAAAACTAGGGATGTGGGTAAGGGTTTATATATAGATTTGGAAGAACTCTGGTGGCTTCTTTTTTTCTGGGATTTTTCTCCTCTTTTTCTAGATATGCTGTCAACCCCAAACTAGGCCTTCTGACTCCTCAAGCCAGTAATAGTGCAGATTTCAGCTTAAGTTCTAGGCTTGTCTGCATTATGTGGACTGTGGAATACTACTAGAGGAAAAGCCATGTAAATACTGAATCCTACCTCGTGTAGTTCCTTCTTTCAAGGATTGACGTCTCTCCAGTTTCTGCTTGTTTTGGGTTATTCTGTTGTACTTTCAAATAGCTCTTTTAGTATTTTGTCACAGAATATAATGGTTATCTGCAGAAGGATTAATCTAATGTATGCTACTCTGCCATTACCAGAAGTTGTAACACGTTGCTTTTTATTTTCCATTGATGCTGCATAGGATTGAATTTTTAAAATTCTACTTTTTCTGTGAATGGTGGCAGTGTCTCATCAAAATCTTCTAAAGGAATTGAGCATCTTACTAATCATATTTTTTCTTGTTTCTCTTATAGACAAGAGATGATTTCCTAGGTCAAGTGGATGTTCCACTTTATCCATTACCGGTTGGTATAGGTGCCCATGATTCTCCTTTTGTGTTTATGTTTTTAATTTAATAAATACTTACATATATACAATATAGTTAATGTAAATAATTGATTTATCACATGTATACTACTTTTATTTATTAAACATACCGTTTTTCTAAAAAACTCATTTCAGTTTTCCGTTTCCATTTTCTCTTTAAGATTTCCATGCATGAACCCCAGTGAGAAATAGAGAACTTCTGATGTTTGTTGGCATTGTGAAAACATTGTGTAAAAAAGATTAGTTTGAAAATATTCTGCTGAATAACTAGAATGAGGAGTGCCTAAGCTCTCAGAAGAAAACTAAGGTAGTTTATGAGAATAGAAACATAAAACACTGAGAATCAGGACTGAGAATATAGCAAGGAGGAAAACAGATTCAGGAAACATTGCAAAATAAAACATTATTGAATCACATGTCTGACATGGAGGCTTAAGAAAATAAGAAGTAAAGATAATACAAGTTGAACTTGGAAGATAAGAGTGGCATCTCATATAGAAAAGTGAGGAAGAAAACCCATTTTGTTTTGAAATGCAAAAAATTTACTGTTGGACAGAGTTTTGATAGGAAACAAAGAAAATGAAAGTTTAAAGTAGACTACTGACAGAGAGATAAAAATCAGTTATGTAGGGAAAAGGGACTAGAAAGATTAAGTGTTATCACTGTCCAGGCAACAGCAGAATCTCTGAAAATAATGGATTTTCCTGATAAAACAGATAAGAACGGAGGGCCAGCCATTGACTCTCAGTCAACATGAGTGGATCAGAAAAGAAAGAGAAGACAGACAAGGGGAAACAGGAAGAGAACCAAGTAAAATAATGTCACGAGAATTTAAGAAAAGAGTTTCAAGGCAGACTGGGTAGTTAACAATACAAAACATCAGAGAAGAATAATAAAAACTAACAGCTGCCGAATTTTAAAGAAAGAGAAAAAATACTTCTTTTTCAGTCTTTTGAGTTATATTAATTAGCTCTCTACAGTCTTTCCAGAGCATAATCTTTTTTTTTTTTTTTTTTTTAAACAGGGTGTACAGGACCATAAGCTTTCAGTAATATATTTAATCTAGTCTTACTTTCCAGGCTATTGACTTTTTTGGTCTCCTAGATTTATCTCCATGCTTTAACCAAGCCAGCCTGCAGATATGTGCATAGTCCATACTGTTTTGGGATGTCAACATAGTAACCACTGTATATTGTTTTTCTGCTTATTGTCTTCTGCCCTCCCTTTGGCTCCACAACCCGCCTGCTCAGCTAGTTTTCATATGACTTGTGATGCCGGCTGCAATTCCTCTTGGGCAGGAAAGCAAAAGTGCTGTCAAGTTAGCATTTAATAAACTAAAGCTACTTTTTTTTCTCACTTCCAACTTAAATTATGCCTTAGGTGATAGTTCATGAGTATTCTTGAAAAGTACATGCTTTGGTGTTATAGATATATTTTGAAAACCCACTATTTTATTCTAGACAGAAAATCCAAGATTGGAGAGACCATATACATTTAAGGATTTTATTCTTCACCCAAGAAGGTCAGTAAGTATAAAATAATAGCATATTAAATTTTTTATCTCTTCTTTACACCTTACAGTAGCCTCATTAGAAATTCAGGATTTAAACCTCTGTAAATAAGCTACTTCTAAATATTATTATTTTTAAAACTTCATTGCTATTTCTGATTTAAAGTACTATATGCACATTGCAAAACACTCTGAAAATACAGAAAGTGATCACACCCCTTTGGGAAAGATTTGTCCTTCTAATACTTATCAGACCAGAAGGCTAAAATTTGTCATTATTTTATATTTATTTTTTGTCTTAAAGTTTATGTCATATTGTCATACTGTGCTTTAAAAAATCACAAACATGAATTCATCTAAAACCATTATCCAACTCGACGTGCACAAAGCCAGTTTCAGAAAAACCTAACTATATTTTGTATACTTTAAAAAGTATTTCAGAAGACTCAAATATTTAGAGAAAATAACATAAGACTGGAATTTAAAACCCAAATAGCATGCTTATAATTCCATTTTCCCAAAGTTACTTGATGTTTGTCAATAAAAATTTAAGCTGTAACCAGAACTCCTTTTGATCTTCTATACCACACTGACAAGTAAAATCTAGTCGAAACATGTGTGTGGATTTACTCTCAAAAAGGTCAAACTAAAGCAGAGAAAGGACATCTGTGAAAGCAACAGTATTTGTCTTGTTTCTTAAACTATAAAATGCATTTGAAAAGGTACTGTTGGAACTTAGTAAAATTTTTCACTTAAAGTGATGTTTTTAAGTTACTGTTTGTAATATAAATATTAAAACAAAATGAAAAGGAGTGCTCACTGACTGTTAATATTTACTTTATAAAGGAAGTCACATTTAATTTCTGTAGATGTCTGGAATGTAAATCTTTCGTCTTTTAATTTTAGACTGATTGTGACATCTGCATATCAGGAATGACTAAATTGTTTTTTCTTATTTGATTGTCCTAGAAGCCTGCTTTTCAATTTGTCACATGCTTTCTAGCTTCTTTATCTTTAAAAAATACAATTTGCTTCTTCTGTCTGCAATGAATATTATTGCAAGTGTAGAAAGAACTTTATTCAGATAGAAAATGTACGACTACATTCCTAAATTTGTTTGAGCCCCATTAAGTCAAAACCTTGAGGCTTCTTTTCTAATTGAGAAGACATGAAACATACAATTGTAGAGAAACTTTTCAGCAAAACATTATCTGAGCACATTTTCTGTATCCATCTTTTATAGCCACAAGTCAGAATGCTCACATCTCCTTCAGTATGGAGACACAAGCCACATTAGCAGCCTTGGAAATAAGCATCGGGGATTTCACTGACTACTCGGGAAAGGATACACTGAATGTGCCAAATTCATGAAAACTATACAGAGAAGAGCTAAAAAGATTAGGGGAGGCTTGGGAGTGGGGGTAGGTAATCTCTTGAAGACAGAATAAAAAGATTAGGACTCTTGTCTAGAAAGACAAAGGGTAATTGCTACATATCTGATATCTGTAAAAATCATCTCCAAAAAAATCTATATAGAGAGCTGAGACAAGCAAGGATTTCTTAAGTAAATCTCAGGATGCTAGAATTGATGAGGGCAATAGATAGAATTAAGCCTTAAATTAGAAGCTTATGAAAGCACTGTAATCGCAGCACTTTGGGAGGCTGAGGTGGGTGGATTGCTTGAGCCCAAGAATTCCAGACCAGCCTGGACAACATGCAAAACCCTGTCTCTACAAAAAAATACAAAAATTAACTGGGCGTGGTGGCGCATGCCTGTAGTCCCAGTTATTTGGGAGGCTAAGGTGGGAAGATCACCTGAGCCTGGGAGGTCAAGGCTGCGGTGAACCGTGATTGAGCCACTGCACTCCAGCCTGAGCGACAGAGGGAGATGCTGTCTGAAAAAAAAAAAAAAAAGCAGCAGCAGCAGCTTGTGAAAGACAGGTTTTTCAAAAGATTTAAAATATTACTACAGCAAGCAGCAGCCTTTAGCTTAGACAACTAATTATTCAAAGAGGTGATACAATATAAAAATAGATTAGGTAAATTAATGTGTGACAGATTCAAACAGCTGCCAAAGAGATGTAGCAGGTTTCAGACACTTATCAAGCCTTGCCCTCTACTCTTCTGTCATCCAAAAAAATATGGCCAGATTAGTATCCCTAAAGCACATCTCTTTGGATACCTTTCTCTATCCCCCAAATTCTCAGTGATTTACCAAAATATGCAAAATAAAGTCTGAAGTTGTCTGATTTTGCCTGACCTCTGGACCATCCCAACCTCCTGTAGTTCCCTTAACATATCCTGTAATCCAGCCAAACTCAACTACTGCCATTTCCTTAATTGCACCCGCAGTTTCCCACCTGTTTCCTGGATCTTGCCCTTTTCTCCACTCATAATGCCTTTTCCTCTATTGCCACAGATAAGAATCCTCCCCAATCTCCTAATCCCAACCCAAAGACCAGCTTCTCTTTGACATTGTCTCTGATGGTTCACTTAAACTTCCTTAGCATCATCTTTGTGGCATAACAATTATTTATTTATATATGTTTCCCTTTTCTCCACCTTCTATTCCTTTCCCTGGATATCTTCTGCCCTGAAACTTGTTTTTGAACCTCCCTTTGTAGACCCCCTGGTACCTAGTGGGTGTTCATTAAACTCTTATTAATTGAATACTTTTCTCCCTGGTGTTAAAGTTTTATGAATATTTATTTTCTTTTCTACAGTCACAAATCAAGAGTTAAAGGTTATCTGAGACTAAAAATGACTTATTTGCCTAAAACCAGTGGCTCAGAAGATGATAATGCAGAACAGGCTGAGGAATTAGAGGTGAGATGTTATAAATATTTGGTTAAACTAAAAAAAAATTTTAATTTCTTATTTTACTGTACTCTGAAGAACAATAACTATTGAATGAAGTTAACGTGTAAATAAAAATTATTTACTTGGACATTTATTTCACCCAAGCATTCATTAATAGTCTTTCCTCTAAGGATATTTCTGTTGAATGAATGGCCATTATTGATGGCCTTCTTAAAGGTTAAGGAGTAGAGAATAGAATATAAATCTAGTTTTTCAAAGTTTTCTAAAACTGTATATTCTCTCCATTAAAGTAAGAACACAATTTAGTATTTTGAAGTTAAATATATGGACATTTTGAGGAGACTCCACTGATTAGGAGCTCTTTTATGAAATTTAAGTCCTGTTAATGTTCTTATTATGGTGGGAGGGCTCATAGGAAAGGAGGGGAATTAGGGAGCAGGAAGAATTTAAGTGATCTAATAAAGAGCCTTCTGTATGTGCGGCAAGTAGAATTTAACAATTTTCATGGATGACAGGATGAGAGGAAAGTCCAAGTCAAGATTTGTGTAGAGTTACGTGCATCTGGAATAAGCAAGTAAGAGGCAGAAAATACGTATTTGGAATAGAATTGGATAGGGTTTGGAGACTGGAATCCTAGTTGCACACTATCTAGCCAGACCTGAGTGAGTCATTGAACTTTTCTGAACCTCAGGATCTTGTTTGCAGAGTGACAGGATGGCACCAGATGACCTCAAGGGTTTCTTCCAGCAGAAAAATTTATGATTTGGAAAGGGGTCAAAAAAACACCTGCTCCTTGAGGTTCCTTTTGAAAGAAGTATTTATTCAGTAGCTGTATTAGTCCATTTTCTTACTGCTATGAAGAAATACCCGAGACTGGGTAATTTATAAAGCTTTGAAAAGAGGTTTAATGGACTCATAGTTCTACATGACTAGGGAGGCCTCACAATCATGGTGGAAGGTGAAAGAGGAGCAAAGGCACAGCTTACATGGTGACAGGCAAGAGAGTGTGTGCCGGGGAACAGCCCTTTATAAAACTATCAGATCTCGTGAGACTTATTCACTGTCATGAGAACAGCACCGGAAAAACTCACTCTCATGATTCAGTTACCTCCCACTGAGTGCCTCCCACAACACGAGGGGATTATAGAAGCTACAATTCAAGATGAGATTTGAGTGGGGACACAGCCAGACCATATCAACAGCAGTTACTGAAAGCAGAGCACACAGCGTATGGCACCAAATTGCTCTAGAGGCTTCTTATTTGGTGCCTTGCTTAACACTTTTGCCTCTTTGACTGAGGGCCTGCTTATGTCTCCATAAGAACAGTGAAGCTGAGGGCCTTCCCCAGGGGCTAGGCTCTACCTCACATGCCCATGTACCTTGAGAAAGAAAGCTCTAGAACAGGTGGTGAATTTGCAGCAGAGCTGTCTGGGAAAATTTTAAATGCACTGAGATTTTGCTTTGCAAGAAAATCCATAATAATAGAAAGATAGAAGGAAGATTTTTTTTTTTTTTCTGGAGTCAGGGTCTTGCTCTGGGGCCCATGCTGGAGTACAGTGGTGCAATCTCAGCTCACTGCAACCTCCTGCCTCCTGGGTTCAAGCAATTTTCGTGCCTCAGTCTCCCAAGTACCTGGGATTACAGGCATGTGCCAGCATGCCTGGCTAATTTTTGTATTTTTAGTAGAGATGGAGTTTTACCATGTTGACCAGGCTGGTCTTGATCTCCTGGCCTCAAGCCATCTATCTGCCTCAGCGTCCCAAAGTGCTGGGACTACAGGCGTGAGCCACGGTACCCGGCCAAGAAAGAATCTTTTTTCTTCACTCACAGTATAGGTAGCCCCTAGTTTGGTGACCAAAGAACTTGTTATCTTCTCAATTCTCTCTTCACTTATTTGATTAACTTTTTCTTATGTATTTTTATCTGATTTTCATATAATATGTTTAAAGTTTTCAAGTATTTATTCAATAGAAGTTTCTCCACCTGGTTTTTGGTGTACCAGAGTATCTTGCATAATGGAATTCTGTTTGAAATGAAGGATATCTGCTGTAAAGAAAGAAAATTATTTATTTAGTAACTTAAAAAGATTTAACAGCGTTTCATTATTTAGTGACCTGCTCCAAGTTTTGCCCACATGCACGCATCATAGGACCCTATTCACAGTTGAGTTTCTGTGGAGAGAACTGCTTCACTTCATTTTGTGGTCTCATGTCTCAATGTTTGAATTCCCTCAGAATGCACCTTATAATTTCAGGAGATGTAAGCGTGTAGGAGTTTATTTATGAAAGGCCCTAGGAATTCAAACACATGAATCTGTGCTTATTTACCTTCTGTGTAGCTAATGACTAGAGTCGTCTTGCCTAGTCCTTTGACAGCTAGTTTGTGACTGTATAAATTCTACTAGGAAAACAATTGTAATTTTGAAATGAAGCTCACTCTTAGGTAGTTTGTATTCTGTAGTAAAGTATGGCTATAATAGATAATTATGTAACGGTTGATTTTTGTACCATTTGCAACTTTAGGTTTAGTTGTATGTATTTTACAGAATTAACATATAAAATGTTGGTTGTACCTCTCAATACTTTCTTCCTGACCCTCTTTGACTTGATTAAATTGTGAGCGATTACATATTGGCTTTGAGGTTAGAAATTAAATAAGGTTCATTGATACTTAGAAAGTTATTTTATAAAGAATAGCAGCTGATACATATTTAATAGGAAGGCCTGGTATCCAAAAATTGACTGTATAGAGGCATTTTATCCAGTCTTTCTAAACAGTGTTTGATTGTACAACTCTACTTCCACGAATTTGAGATAGGTTTTTCTTAAGCCTTTAATTAAATTAATTTTTGTTCTTTCTCTTCTTGAATTCACTCAGATAATATAAATACATTAAGCAGACCTTTAAGGGAGAAATCTCTAAGAAGCTTTAAAAGAAATATTCTTTTGGTACCATTTTTCGAGTGCTGAGTATTTTTATAATCCTTTACAGCAGTAGTGAGAACTATTTTATTAATAAATTGTATTAATCTTAAAGGAAATTAATCAATGATTATGTTCAACCAAAAAATGTTAAGCTTATATTTTCTCACAAAATATAAAAACTTAACTTACATGTTTTTGGGATTGAAACCAGAAAAATGCAATCTGATTTAATATATGCAAGACTAATTTTTAGGTATGCTAGATCCTATATTATCATAGTTTAAGGGAAAGGAAAAGAAAGAAGGAAGATAAACATGAATGGGCAGACAAAGTAAGAGGATATAGGGAAAGAAGAGAATGGAATTTGGGCAATAAAAAGAAAAAAAAAACAGATAACAATTCTTATAAAACAGGTAAAAAGGAAAAAAAAGAGAGAAGAAAGGTTAGGCACAGTGGCTCATGCTGGTAATCCCAGCACTTTGGGAGACTAAGACAGGAGGATTGCTTGAGCCCAGGAGTTTGAGACCAGCCTGGGCAACATAGGCGAGACCCCATCTCTACAAAAAAAAATACAAAATTAGCTCGGCATGGTAGTATGCACCTAAAGCCTAAGGTGAAAGATTACTTAAGCTCAGGAGGTCAAGGCTGCAGTGAGCTGTGATGGCACCACTGCACTTCAACCTGGATGTCAGACCGTGTGGAGAGAGAGCGAAGAAAGAAAGAGAAATTCCCATCCAGACCTTTTCTCCCAAAATAATTTATTCCGTCATCTTGCTCCTCCACTACCCATCACCTTCTATACAGAGCTAGCCAAAATAGATCAGCCTTGCTGCAGAAACCCCCTATCCATTTCTTCCTGCTACCAAAACACATTCCTTTCCTTCCCAACTCTTCCCTGAGGCCTCGTTTTCAAGTCTAGCCTTCCAACGTAGAAGAATTCTCTTCCATCTTGGAAGCAATCCACTGCCTGTCACACAACAGTCATTTACTGCTGATCTCCAGGCCTATAACAGAAACTCTGTGTATCTAAGGAAATTATTCTGTGTCAGTTATCCAAGTACCGAACATGTTTGCCACTTTGTCATTTGCTCTTTATAACATATGTATATGTTAGTAGTTTTGGCCATACACAAATTTGGGTGTTTTGTTGTCAAATTTATAGATCTTCTCTTTCTTGCCTTCAAGGTTTGGTGTCATACTTAACAGTGTCCCACTCTTAAAATGTATTTCTAAAATTTTCAGCAGTTTGTTATTAATACTTTTTGGTTTCACTTTTAAACGTTTAGATATTATTCAGTCTGTAACTTTTCCTGATACAAGGCATGAGGTAGGGATTCAAGTGAAGTTTTTTCCAAATGGATGCCCATTTTCTAAGTAATCTTTTTTTTTTTTTTTAAACAGAGTCTTGCTCTATCGCCCAGGCTAGAGTGCAGTGGTGCAATCTCTGCCTCCCGGGCTCAAGCAATTCTCCTGCCTCAGCCTCTCAAGTAGCTGGGATTACAGGTGCCCACCACCATGCCTG